ACGTGTTGGCGCAGCAGGTCCTGGTCCAACGTGTTGGTGCAGCAGGTCCTGCAGGTCCTGGTCCAACGTGTTGAACATGTTTCTGCACATTAACTGAACTTCAAACACTAAAAACCAAAGCTGACGTGTGGAAGATGCATCATGTGAAATGGAAAAGATATTTTTTCTGTCAACATAAAACCTGAGTCAAATAAAAATAAAACCCGTGTTCTGATGGAGTGCGTTTTAGAAACCAGCATACGGATCCACCTTGTCCGGGTCTGAAGAGGATCCGATGCGTTTTTTGTTTCAGTGCCAGAGTGAATACCAGAAGAGTTACGGCAGTTCCCGGTCCAGAAGCGCGTCGCCTCGGCGCTGCGGCCCGTCTGCCGGCCTCCGCTCCGACATGATGGGTAAGAACCTGCAGAACGTTCCCTGTTAGATACAGCACCGCTTATACTTTCTCACCACGCAGAACCAGAACTTCACAGAATCTCTGCGGTAAGTTTTTATTTTCTTGTCTGTGGCTCTGGAGGTGTCGGCAGGGAACCTGGTCTCCAGCGAAGGAAGAGAACTGGACCACTCGACCAGTCCTGCAGCTCTTCACGCTTTCCTCAAGATGATCCAGATGTTGGAGGTCACACAAGATCACACCCTGCTGGTAGGGATGTACACCATCCAGACAGGAGTTCTGGTTAAAGCAGGTTTCCAGGGTCCAGAATCCGGTTTCAAGCAGGTTTTCAGGGTCCAGAATCCGGTTTCAAGCAGGTTTTCAGGACAGAAAAGCAGCTGAACATTAACATCAAACTGTTTCTACACTCGAAAAGTTTATTAAATTTTCTTTATTGTAGCTTCCAGAAGTCGCTCAGTCCACAGGAAGGACCCCTCACAGAACCAAAAGCCACCCACTCCTACTGGACCTCCAGCAGGACCACAACCTGCTGCAGTCCCAGAACCCCCAGAGAGACCAGATCCTGAATCTGCAGTGAGGCCAGAGGCAGATGGAAAGCCTGGTAACTACAGAACTCAGGTCGTTGCATCGTCCTCGGTTCCGTTGCCTTTACAGCTCTTCTGTCTCCCCAGTGAAGCTCCGCCCCTCTGAGCCTGTCAGCCAATCACAGCTCAGCAGCGCTGCGACGCGAGCAGCTCCAGACGAGCGTCAGAAGCTGTCGGACATCAAGGTGAGGGACCTGGAGCCGGTGGAGGTGACAGGGCAGCAGCAGGTTTAATCATGTCCCGTGTTGCAGGTGGACCAGGCGCTGCGATGGAGGGCAGGGCTGAGGTCAGGAGGTCAAAGGTCAGAGTACCACAGACAGTTCAGCTTTAAGAAGCCTGTACCTGCTGCTTCACCTCTACTGACTGCAGAGCAGGTGGGCCTCACCTGTACATGAGCCCGGGTCGTCGTTCTGATAAATTATTCAGGGTCGTTTAGAGTCGCATCAAAGGAAACAGCTGGAAACAGCTGGTTTCCTGGTGAGACAAAGTGCGAAGGAACGCCTCAGCTTTGTTCAGTGAAGGGACCAGCAGGGGGCGGCGTTTAGTTTCAGAACCAGATGTTCAGGGCTCAGCTGCTCAACACAAAACATTATTTATTTGGGGTAAGAAGCAGCTATTCAGAGACATCGTAGGAAATAAAACGTTAGATTTATCTCACATGACGACTTTCTGAATTCACTCGTTCTTCTTTTTACAACTGACTTCAGACTTTGTCTATTTTAGCCGTTTACATCAAAATATTCAGCTACTTCGGGGGCGAATGATGAAAACATGTTGAACTCTGTTCTCTCTTTAAAACCTGCTTCAGCTGCTGGCTCTCATTTTATCCTCAGGACCTTTAGCTTTTAGCTGAAGCTCATTTTCAGCTTAAGCTGATTTAGCACTTATTCAGATCAAGTGTTCAAACTGGATTTTAGTAAAAATTAAAAACAAATTCTCAGGTTTAAACTTGATAAATTTTAGTTTTGTCATAAAACAAAGAATAAATTATTCTCATTCTCTATTTTTCTTTTCCAGCTCGTCCGTTTGTCACTTCCTGTGCTTCTGTTTTTGTCTCATTATAAATATTTAGCTTTTAATTGTCTCAAAAATGAACTTAAAGTCTTAGTAACGCGCCCGATGAAGCAGTTGGTTTAGGATTTTATTTTAAACGAGTTCATGAGTTACATTTTCATACGTACAGGTTCGTTTTATGCACAGCATAAATAAACACGTTTAAAGTTGATTATTTAAAATAATTCATGTTTTGACTGAAAACAAAAAGTAAAATGAAGATTCTGACAGACCTTTAAAGTCTAAACAATTAAATAATTAAAATAAAACTGTTGTGAGTTGTGTTGATGATTCCAGATGTTTGAGCAGCTGGCAGCAGCTCAGTCTGTAATCTAATCTAAGAAATTATGATTTAATCCGGCAGGTGCTGAACTCCAGCATCGGGGCGATCCCTCTCCATGCGACAAACACGGTTCCCATGGAAACTGAGTATTGGCGGAGCTTCAGGGGCCTGGCCCCGCCCACTGGACCGCGCCTTCGCAAACATCTGGAGCACGAGAGAGTCCCGCTGTTCCACACGCAGTTGGTGAATAAAGAACACGCAAACGTTTTAAAATAAAAACAAGTTCCAGACGTTTAGACCTGAAAACAAACGGGACCATGAACGCATCATTGATCCTCTTCATCTCTGCTGAAGTTCAACAGTCTGTTCCTTAAACGTCACACATTTACAGTTCAACTAAAGTCTTAAAGAAATACTCAGTTACCACAATCAGACCGACCGTCAGAGCCACGAGGAGTTGTTTTTGGGCCGTCTACACGGAGCCCCAAGATATTTTAGCCTTGAAATGCCACCCTGGTGTTTGTGTGTGGACGGCCAAAATGCAACTTTATAAAAACGATGATGTCATAGACCCACCTTTGATCTGAACTACGTCCTTTTCTTGTGGTTGTGTTTAGAAATCAGTGTTTCTTGGACCATCCACGCCTCGTTTCCTGTTTTTGCTGCGATTTCCCTGCAGCGTTACAGCGCCACCTCAGGCCTGGCACAGTTACTGCAGCGTTTGAATTATTTTTACCGTTTCCATGAGGATGAAGACGGTTCTTCAAACAGTGCCATGTTTACGGGGATATCTTTAGAAACAAAATTTTTTTGGGGAATTACTGCGTTTCTGTGTGAAACGGGCTTTCGCGTCTGACTCGTGTTCTGATGGAGTTAAAAATTACATTAAAGGGCCCAAACCCCACAGACACCATTATGTCTGCATTATGACCCAGTTTGGTCCAAGCTTCAGCCATCAAACCATCAGCCTCCCACCAGCATGCTCAACAAACATGCTGCTGTGCATTATGGGTAAACATCTCTACATGGGTCTGGTTTGATTCCAGGATTCTTGAGGTTCCTTCAGATGAAAGCTGTGCTGCCATGTTGTTTTAAGAGAGGATTTCTCCTGCAGCCCATCCAAACAAGACATGACCTTTGACCTTTGACCTGCTAACAGGCCTGTGGAGCCTGAGCTTGTTGGGACGTTCACCTCTGGGCCTCCCAACAAACTCCCTGACTGAGCTGTTTTTACCTGCAGATCGATAAGGAGAAGAGGGCGGAGCCACACAAGTCCCACCCCAAACAGGAACTCCCTCGAAACGAACTCGACAGACCACAATCACTGAAGGACACGCCTCCTCCTCCTCAGGTGCAGAAGAGGCGCAGGTGTGTTTCTGTCGCTCTGTTTTAGTGTTTTTTAGTGTTTAATGAGTTCATGGATTTAACCCCATGTGTCTGACAGGATGTTGACCGAGTATCAGTCCAGATTTCGTTCTCGTCTCTACAGGAACTCAGAAGGAGGCGGAGCTACAGATGCTGTCACGCAGCAGGTCAGAGTTTTTCTCAAACAATTACAACCAATCAAGGAGAGCACCTGGAAAAAGTTTTCACACTCCTTTAATTTACCACAAAGTTCAGGTTACAGCCACAAACCTCAGGATTTCACTGGGACTGTCTGAACAGCAGTTTTCACGTCTTGCCTCAGATCCTCAGGTGGATTTAGGTCTGGACTTTGACTGGACCGTTCTAAACCGGTCCACTGTACCTCTGGCTGGACATTTCGGGTCTCGAGTCTTTCACAGCCTCTAACGGGTTTTCTTCCAGGACTGTCCTGTATTTGACTCTGACCAGGTTCCCTGTCCCTGCAGAGGGGAAGCACTCCCACAGCATGATGCTGCCACCACCATGCTTCACAGTGCAGATGGTGTGTTCAGGGTGATGTGCAGAGTTTAGTGTCCCCTTCACGACTTGTAACAAACTGCAAACAGGGCCTGTTACGGTTTTCTTTCTTCTCGTCTCTCTTCCATAAAAGACAGATTTGTGGACCAATCTGTGTCCTGAGGACAGATTGTCCCACCTGAGCTGTGGGTCTCTGCAGCTCCTCCAGAAGTACCATCTGGTTCTCAGATCAACGCTCTCTGTGAGACGTTTAAAGCTTGTGATACTGTTTTATAACCGAACTCTGCTCAACGCCTGTACCTGTCTGTTGTGATCCTTGGCCTTCATGATGCTGTTTTAACAATCATCTAAAGCCTTTACAGAACAGCTGAGATTAAACGACACACAGGTGGGCTCTGTTTACCAAACAGGTGACTTCTGAAGGCGACTAGCTGCGCTGGATTTTAGCTGAACACAAACGCACGTCACATTTTTCAGATTAAAAAAGTTTAAAGTCTAAATTTACCTCCCGTGTCCAATTACTTCCTCTTTTTTGGTGTCGATCACATAAAAACCCAGTTACAAACAAACGTGGAAGACTTCTTGACCGTTTAGTTTTCCTAATTTAAAACATAGAATACATTAAATATTTAAATAAGATATAAGTTGGGTCTGACACACTGCCCACTGATACAAGCCAGACCACAGAATTTATCCAGTATGTGAGAAACGGGACAAACTGGAGGAAACATCTGTAACCCTCCTGCTGCCCTGGGGTCAAACTGACACACAAGGCATCAGCGTTCAGACCTTGAGGGTTATTTTGATCCAATAGCAGCAGGAGGGTGACGGTGTCTACAAGACCTAGACCTCGTTTATCACGAGGAATAAAAACATCAAAGTGTTCGTGATGCGTTCACTGTCTGTATGAAAGAAACGGCAGCAGGAGTGCGGTGTCTTTCGTCCCCTGATCCCTCTCACTCATGTGGCATTTTGTTGAGCGATGGAAAGCAGCGCGCCGACTTTCAGCAGAGAAACCACAGCGTTTCATTTCAAGGAAACTATCTCAGGTGGGGCCTGCCACCGGGGGGGGGGGGGGGGGGAAACATCAAACACATAAAAAATAACCTGCTGATGTTCATCAAACCTCTGAACTCTACAGTAAGCCTCTCCTGCTCTGCTCGTTTCGTTGATGCCCCAGTTTGGCCCAGAAGATGTTAAATGGTCTTAAAGAGCTCCTTCCATCGGATCACTCAAAGCTCTTTACAACAGCCTCATTAATCCATTCACACAGCTCTATACTAGATCTCTACAGACTAATCAGAGCTTTATCACATTCATGCACTGATGGGACACATCAGAGGCAATGAGGGGTTCAGTGTCTTGTTCAGGGACACTTCAGCATGTGACTGCTGGTGGAATCAAACCCCCAACTCTCCTATTGGAGGACTTCTTATCTAGCCACTCAGCCACAGCTGCCCCTGAACCAGTCTGGACTGGATTGGCTCCAGTCCTGGCTCCAGTCTGACAAACTGGGGTCACATTAGCTCCTGAGGTTTGGATAAATCTCTGCGCGGTGGTGAAGTGGCGTTCAGACACCAACGCGCTGATCTGCCTGTTAGATGTTGGGCCTGACGGGGGCGGATGCTCCTGAACTCGTCGTTCTGAAAGTCCTGACTTGGTTTTCACTTCCAGACAGGAAGTGCTGCAGCGACTCTGTCAGACAGAAAACACTGAGGTGGCACTTTGTGGCACAGCCCCGAAGACGCTCCTGGTTTACCCGAAACAGCCGACTGAACCACTCGAAGGTTTCTGTGAGCTGAGCTGTCAAAAGTTTTCACCTCCCGATGTTGTTTGTTGTGTTGCCCAACGGCCCGGGACGACCCGGAACATGGACCTCCTCAGAACCCTCCAGTGATCGACCTGATTGAGAGAACACAACTAGTTCAATAAGATCTGAGAGTCACATGATCTGTTCTGACAGAACCAACAGCTCTAAGCAGCAACATCTACCAAGCAAGAGACATCATGAAGACCAAGGAACCCTCCACACAGGTCAGACACAAAGTTGTGAAGAAGTACACATTAGGGTTGGTTTATAAAAAATGTCCCACAAAGCTTTATTAATATGAAATGGAGACAAACCTGTCCACAGAGGGACGTCCACCAAAACCCCCCAGAGCCGGTGGACAACTGAAGGATCTGTCCATAGGACCACAAGAATCTGGAGCTGAACTTCATGGAGGAGAAGAAAAGTGACATGAAACATGGAAGAAGCTGCTGTTGTCCATCAGGGACATCGTCCTGCTGAGGACACCACACCCACAGGGAGGCATGGTGATGTGGGGGCGCTAAGATGGACGGAGCAAAATACAGAGGAGGTCTTGAGACTGGGTCGGGGGGCCACCTTCCTGCAGGACAATGAGCCTAAACCTCTGAGGACCACTCAGCTGGCTAAAGGTCCTGGACAGGCCCGGACAAAGACCAACATCTGCTTTGATGTAAAGACCGTTGGACACGAGCAGCACCGACCTGAAGGAGCTGGAGACGTGTGGTCATGAAGAACAGACAGAAGTCCAGATGGACCAAGACCAGGAGACAAGGCTGCAGAAGTATCAGCTTTGTGGGTCTCAAAGTTCTGGATTCTCCTTGTTGTCCAGTTTCATCCCCCACAGTGAAGAAAGATTCAGATCTTCACCGCCAAAATAAAAACGTACGGTCGCGTCAATATTTAGTTTAAAATCCACATTTTAAAGAAACATGGGACATAAACGTCTCCAGGGTTCAGTTCTTCTCAGCTTTAACTGAACTTATTAAATGTAACTAAAACTAACTTCACACGGTGCGTCTGCATCTGAAGAGTCTGAAGATTAACCTTCAAACTGAAACATCTCAACGCACGTCCTTTTCCTCTGCTCCGCCAAAATAAAACTAAAAATCAGTTTTCTTCTCGTTTTCATTTCAGTTTATTTTCATTAAATAATGTGGAGGCAGACTTCAGGTCAGTTTCACCTCAACGTTCTGGATCCTGTGAGGACATGAGGACACGTTCTGTAGGAACGTTCTGGATCCTGTGAGGACATGAGGACAACTTTCCATGCGTGTGGAGGGAATGTGTCGTCTGACGTCACGACATCAGACGGTTGAAACTCGAAGCGGGTTTGGATCTTCTGCACGTCGGTTTCTTGACGCTTGTGCAACATTCCATCAAACCAGGCCACGTTCCGCCGCACGTCGGCGTTTCATTTTCTATAAAAGTGGAACGTCTCGTCAGACTGAGCTGGTTAATTCAGACGAAAGCATCAGGTTCTCCTTCAGGTGGAAGCTTCCTGTTCCTCACATTCTGATCCACCGTGCAGGAGATAAAATCGAACGCTGCGACACGTTCTTCAGCAGCTCGAATGAATCAATTCAAATTCAATTCAATTCAATTCAAAAATAATTTATTAATCCCAGAGGGAAATTATTTGTTGTTGTAACTCGTTATCCTCATTTCATTAAGAGATGTTATAGATGCTGATGCTGTAGACAGGAAGGATCTCTTGTAAAGGTCCATCCCACAGTGGATCCTAAGAAACTGGCTGCAGATGTCATCCGATCCGTCCACCCAGACTCGGCTGGCCTCTCGGTTCCCCCGGTCTGTAGGACCACCTGAATGCTGGGCAGAACTCCTCCCAGAGTGATGTCCACTCCTCCCAGCAGTCTGCCGAGTTCCTCGTCGATGCGGACATCCAACTGTAGGTGCTGAGATCCTGTCCTTCTGCTGTCATGAGCCGTGTTTCCTGCTAGTTCCAGGATCTCAGTGGTCAGGTACTCGAGCACAGCTGGCAGGTAGATGAGAATGCATCCACAGAACATCATTTTCAACTCATTTGAGATTTGGGGCTGTAGTTGAGATATTATTTGAGCTTTTGAGATGTTAATCAGCTGCTGTTGTTGTAGAAAACTGCCTTGTTGCCATGGTTACGCATCATAACAAATGTCCAAAACTAAAAAAGTTTCAGTAAAAATCCTTCCAGCTGCTCAGCATCTGATACCAGAGGAAACAATCATCCAGAAAAAGAGGAATTAAAGTTTCCTAAAGCAAAATCTCAGGATGAAACAGAGCTGCTCCAACATGCAGCCACCTGGAGCGGTGCAGTTCTGCGCAAATCGAACGTTTTACCGATTTCATTAAATCAAACGTTTCTTCGTCTTCACTGAAGCTTTGCTCGTTTGTCACGGGGACAGAACACTTGGACGTCCAGTCGTTCAGAGGATTTGAAGAAATTTTAGATTTTAAATTGATGCAGTTTGATGCTGAACACCAGGAGCAGTCCAAGGCTCTGAGTGATTGTTAGCAAAATAACTCAAAATATACATTTTGATTCAATTCTGAGGAGGTAATCATGAAACGCCCACAACATAAAATGTTTTTATTTGTACCACGTTTATGTTTTAATTTACCAGGGGACACTTTGGACATGGAGACAGGTAGATTTGGATCATTTTAAATGACCTTGACGTGATGTGAAGGACGTATCGCTCTTTGATCGCTCCGGGAACGATCAGAATTTAGTTCTGGTGTTTTCCCTCTCCTACATTAGATCAGACGGGTCAGAACCCCCTCAGACTGAAAGAACGTGCTGATCAGCTCTGTGAGGTGCTGGCAGACATCTTTAACTCCTCACTTACCCTGGAGACAGTTCCCACCTGCCAGAAGACCACCACCATCATCCCAGTCCCAAAAAGCTCTACAGTGACTGGTCTGAATGACTATCGGCCAGTGGCCCTCACCTCAATATTCACTAAATGCTTCAAAAACTGGTCATGACCCACGTCAGAACAACCATCAACATCAACGAGGACCCTCATCAGTACGCATACCGTGAGAACCGATCAACAGAGGATGCAATCTCCTCTGTGGTCCACACTGCGCTCACCCACCTGGAGCAGAAGGACTCCTACGTCCGTATGCTCTTTGTGGACTTCACATCCGCCTTCAACACCATGATCCCCCAAACCCTGATGGACAAACTATCCACACTAGGACTAAGCCCCTCCATTTGCAACTGGGTCCTAGACTTTTTAACAAACAGACCTCAGCCAGTGAGGATCCACAACCTCTCCTCCTCCACCATAACCCTCAGCACTGGCTCTCCTCAGGGATGTGTGTTGAGCCCCCTCCTGTTCGCTCTGCTCACGTATGATTGTGCAGCTACCCATCCAGGCTGTCACATTGTAAAGTTTGCAGATGATACAGCGGTGGTGGGATGCATCACAAACAATGATGAGTCCAGCTACAGGCAGGAGGTGGAACATCTGGAGAGCTGGTGCAGAGAGAATAACCTTCACATCAATGTGAAGACGACAAAGGAGATGATTGTGGACTTCAGAAGGAACAAAAACACCTACACCCCCCTGAACATAAGAGGATCTGCGGTGGAAGAAGTAGGAGCATCTTACAGGGCCGGTTCTAGGCATGGTTACATGAGGGGGCAGGCGGAAATGTGAAGGGGGCATCTTCATCCGAACACGTATTACAGTATGGACTTTGGTATTTATTGTTATTGTTGACTTGTTTTCTTCATGAGATTGGGTAATAAAAGATGACATTTTTACACCTGAGTGTCAACATTTTCAACCATGAACACTATGAAGCAAAAACAGAGAAACCCACTGATCCATGCCCATCTTGAACGCCTCACTGTGGCTGCAACAACAAATTACAAACACAACATGAAGAAAGTTTAGGACATGCTCCACAGCTTCTCATCTCAGTACTAAGGTACAATTTGTTTCAACAGATAATGTGCAGGCTGTTTCGTTTTTTATTTTCTCTGAGAGACTTGGGGTGAGAGATCGCGGCTCTCGCCTCGACTTTGATCTGTCAATCTGGCTCTTTTGAAAAAAATAGTGAGAATCACTGCACTGGACTGAGGAACAGCTTCTACCCTGAGGCTGTTAAGACTCATGAATCTCAAACCAGGATAATCACTGTGAAAAATCACATCATGTTGCTGCTGATCTGTTTATGTTGCTGCTGATCTGTGTCATGTTGCTGGTCTGTGTCATGTTGCTGCTGATCTGTTTCATGTTACTGCTGATCTGTGTCATGTTGCTGCTGATCTGTTTCGTGTTGCTGCTGATCTGTGTCATGTTGCTGATCTGTTTCATGTTGCTGCTGATCTGTGTCATGTTGCTGCTGATCTGTGTCATG